GCTGCAGAATACAGTTGCGACCAGTATTTTCAAGACAAAAAAGACTAGATTCGCTATGGGTAGATAAAATTGTAAGTACATACTTCTGTTTTCTGACTGCCTTTTGCTAGGTGACCGTCCGAAGATACTACTGCCTTAAAAGTCAAAGCTAAAAGGGATGCCAGTATGTTGTCCCTCACAACTGTACATGGCCAAGAGATTCGTGATTTTAACCGACGATACTAGAACGCGTCGTTTACTGATAGTTCCTTTTCTACGAGTGTCTGTGTGATAGCCAGTGGATCATAGTCTATGATACAGTTTTTTCACATCTCAGACGGAATTTTCGCAGAGGCATGACAGTAAGAAGTTAGCACGCAAGTATACCTTCTACTGCGTCTAGTATTTCTCCATGTTGCAGTCAACGTCAGTAGGTGAGGCAACTGAGAACTCCAAAGATTGTATAAGGGCTAGATGGATTGTGCTTAACCAGTGATTTAATTAGGTTAGTTCGAAATATTGGCTATTATAAGACTCTATCCAAGAACGCTAAACTATACTTTTACGAACAAAATGCAAAATGCTACTACATATTTACTTAATAGCAGCCTAAACTTCGCTAAAACCAAATTGGTGGACATTCATATTCAACAAAAAACCTAGAAAACAGAATTAGTGTACTTAGCTGTCCAACTGTCAATTTGTTTCGTCTAATGCAGGACTCAATGAGAGGAATGCATACGTTCAAATATCGGTAAAATAACATCAGTTCGGAAGGCGTTACAAATGCATCTAATTAATCATATGAAAATAGCGTTCTGTGAAGACAGGTTGATCAAACTATATGGAATAACCGAATTTTATTGTTTTAAATTTTGTTACGTACTGAAAAGTCCTGTGAATTAAAAACATTGCATTCATCAGGGCTATTTTTATTCACTTGAAGCCAAATTTCTACCATAAGTGTTGTATTTATCATCGTGACAGCTAGCGGCCTGATGGTAACAGCTGTTAGTCAGCCATGCACGTGCTTAACACGTGCTTATACACGCTTAAACAAATGCTTATACACGTGCTTAAACAATAGGAATCGATGTACTCACATTAAGAAATTCACGCGGCCCCATATAAGCTGACCATTAAAGCTCCGAAATGCCTACTTATGGAACCAATATGCCCATGTTTGAGGAATAATAGTAACAACCCAAACAAAGAAGGAAGCGAAACCCATACCCGTCACGGTACTATTACGTTGGCTTGGCCAAATAAAAGGGACAGATGCTTGCAGGGATTTTTTAAATCATTCTTACATCACTTCCTTGCCAGCACAGGCGACGGTGCAAAACGGCCGGAATCCGGGGAAATACGGGAATGAAAAGTTTTGACTAACGAACTATATCTCCAGTGCACATTTTTCGAAATCTACTTTTTTTATCAATAAATTATTAAAAACCTTGTTCTTTGACAAAACAATTAATTTGGGGGCTTAAGAATGAGAAAAAGGGCGTTCCACCGCGAAAACGTTTTTTGGCGGGCGGGGGCCGGGTTGAAATCCCCGTTGAGGAGTTGAGGACGGGGATTTCAACCCAGCCCCCGCCCGCCGAAAAAAGTTTGCGCGGTGGAATGCCCTTTTTCTCATTCTTAAGCCCCCAAATTAATTGTTTTGTCAAAGAACAAGGTTTCTAATAATTTTTTGATAAAAAAGTAGATTTCAAAAAATGTGTACTGTAAATAAATTTCGTTAATCAAAACTTTTCACCCCGTAATCTCCCGGAATCGCCCGTTGCCTGTGCTGGCAGGGTTATTTTGTGAAACAGTTAAATTAAATTGCGATGTAAGAATACTTTTAATAATCAATACGAGCACATATTTCTCTCATTGGGCTGATTTAGTGTGATAGCACATTCGAAAGTAAAATTTCACTAGCAAAATTCCTGAGTGTTACAACCCCAGCGCAGTTGTAAATTTGGGAAACATTTGCCCACAGATAAATTTTTCACAAATAAAGTTAACTTACGGGGTCTTCTGGGGGGCATCTTCAACAATAATCCAGTGAATAAAGTCCAAATTTGATAGAGTGGACCTCAAACTCACAAGGTCAGCTTTCTGCGTTAAACGGGCGTAGGTAGGAGTAATAACATAGACTATTTGATGTTCAAGGACCTCCCGAGGCTCTTCAAATTGCTTTAAGTAATTAGGGTCAACTGGTTCATCTTCGAATGTCGGAATCTGCAAAAATGTTTGAACGGCTACATACACTAGCCAAATGACCAATAGCAAAACAAAGCAGCCGCACAACCTTGTAACTCTTCTGTTCATATCTTGTATGCCATCGGTGCGACTAAACAAGGTCCATTTGAGGTGCAAGCAAATATCACATTATGGAAAAATAATTCGCCAATAGTGCTTATTCTCACATGATTTTGTTTTTTTAAATTCATTCGCGAACATTTACTACGAAATATAGTGCAAATACAATTTCAAAATTTTTTTCCGACTCATTTGAGAGAACCGCATACATTACTTCGACAATCCTTGGCGCGTTTTAACCATTTTCATTATTTTTCAAAGCTGAACGCTAATTTTGTCAAAAAGAAGTATTTCTTTTTTTCAATGCCGGGCGTTCCTTCTCAACCAGCCAGTGTAGTGATCAGCCCGGATTACGTTTTGATTTTTGCTCAGCAAAATTGGAATTTTTAACAGACCCTCCTCGGTAAAAACCTAATTCCTTTGTTTAAAACATGAGCATAAAATGCCATAAAGCGTGAGAATTTCGGCTTGTCTGTTGACGATAACTTTACCGCACGACCTGGACACACTGTGAACACGCAGCGCCGTCCTTATATGCGGCTGGTAGGTTGTATATGGTGAGTGTGTGGTCCTAAGACTCTATACCAGAAAAACCAGTGAAGTAGATCATTTTCACTTAGACCTTCTCCGCTGATAGCCGTTTATCTTGTCAAGAAAGAGAGAGACGAAGGACGAAGGTCTTGAGATATCGGACAGTTAAAACAAAGCCAAGCATATTTCTAGGTTCCTTCGTTCGGTTAAAAGAGAGAAAATGCATTCATTCCGCCCAGTGTACAGAATGTGGAAGAAACAATTATTCCGTATTTTCTCCTTAAAGACTAAGCGATGAAGAACTAAAAAAGCTTGAAGGAATATGAATTTCCCGGTCAAGAATGATTTGACAAGCCACCAAATCCACTGTTTTCCGCAGATCGTGAATAAACTCTGTCCTCAGAATCCGACTTGTTGCTTTTTTCCGCTTTCCAATATGTTAAAGTACAATATAAAGACATTTTATTCCGAACCATCGGTTGAAATACGCCTCCGTGATATTTGAAATGCTGATTATTACAGGCTGAGAGGCACAAGCATGGCCATTTATGGCTTATTTCCCCTCATCATCCGTTCATATTCCACCAAATGTGTTGCACTATCCGAGGCTCAAACCCACGATGTGTTGGCCAGAAGTTAAACGATACAACCATACAACCACGGGCTCGTCGACTTGCTGGTTCTGGTCGCGAATATAGTCCGAAGTGGATAGACATTCGCCGACCGGCTAGGGGACACACTCATCTCTTTCTGCCTTGCGGTTTACAACCGAGCTGCGCCAGCAGCCGTACACGCAAACTGTTTGACCGTATGACTAAGTTACACGAATAAATAAGCATTATTGTCCCATATAGATCGAATTTCTACAAAGACTGCACATATATCCGACCTAATACCAGCTAGACCGTGAGCTCGT